CTCACATTTTCCAGCCCTCCCTATCCTCTGAGACTTCAGGGAAAGTGAAGCCATTGGGCAGTGATGGCTGTGGTTGGTCAGGTTTGTCATGGGAGGAGCTGAGGAGTGAGTGCTTTACCCTTCACATGGGGTCTCCATGCTGTGGGGGCAGACTCTTGGGTGTGGGAAGAGGGGATGGGGCACTACACTGTGGTCCAGACATCATTCTCTAATCATGATTTTATCATTCATTTGCTGAAGGCCTCTCACACTTAGAAGGAGGAATTTGGAGTGCCTGGGGGGCTCAGTGGGTTGAGCATCTGACTCTTGCTCTTGGCTCAGGTCATGATCTCATAGTTGGTGAGGTCCAGCCCTGAGTCTGTCTCAGCGCTGATAGACGGAGCCTGCTTGGGATTCTCTTTCTCTCTCTCTCAAAACAAATACATATTTTTATAAAAAAGGAGGAATTTAGGGAAGCAGAAATTCGCTTTAACAGAGACTCCACACTTTTAGCCCATTTCACACACTTTATTCCATTTGACCTTCACCCTAACTAACTCAGAGGGGGAGATATTGTTATCTGCATTTTAACAGTAGAGGAAAGAAGTTCAGAAAGATTAAGTAACTTGACAGAGTTCGTGTGGCCATTAAGTGTCATCTGGAAACACAGACAGAGCATAAAGATTCATGTAGTTTAATCTCCAAGTGGTGCAAACAAAATTCTTCAATTTCACTTTATTTTGGTGAGGAAGCACCGTCCTCCGGATGCTTAAAATTCTTATAAAGCTCAGCTCCTCTGCACGTCATTACCATCTGGGGCAGGTATCCCCTCTCCGGTGTTCCTTCCCTAAATCTGTTGAGTTCTTTATGTTCTGTTTAGTGCACTATTAGTCTCCAGAATTTTCCTGATCGCCCGTCTGAGTTGTACCACAGGAAGGGTGCCACGTTGGTGCCTGCCTGCTAGGAGACAGAAGTCATCCAACTACGTCAATGTTCTCTAGTGATTTTTGCAAGGCTGGAAGGTAATAAGGCTCAGATGAAATGCAGCTTTATTTTTAGCTCCCATTCTTACCATCCTGACGGTGTTCGTCTTATTTAAGTCGCACGGAAATCCCTCAGTGGGTTAGCTGACGTTGCTCTTTTAATGGACATTCTCATTGTATTCATTCATTTCTACCTTGTCCATTCATCTATTCAGTAATATGCCGAAATGTAAATATTTTGTGCCTCCTCTATCTACTACATCATGGATACAGAAGATAATAAGTATTTTAAAACCTGTTCCCTGCTCCCAAATAAATCAGTTTTATTTATTCTTTCATTTCTTTTTTTTTTTTTTTAATGTTTATTTGTTCTTGAGAGAGAGTGGTGGGGGGGAGGGACAGATAGAAGGACACAAAGTATTCGAAGCAGGCTTCTGTGCTGACTGTTCAGAGCCTGATGTGGAGCTCAAACCCACAAACTACAAGATGATGACCTGAGCAGAAGCTGGATGCTTAATCAACTGAGCCCCCCAGGCACCCTTCTTCTTTCATTTCTATTTGTCGCTCATCATACATATTGTGTGTGTCTGTGCGTGCGTGTGTGTGTGTACCAGTTCCTCCATACACAGATATAATTCATGCACACACTCATATACACACACATCCACAACACCTCAAAGATGTTACCGTTAACAGAAGTTGAGTGTAACTAAAATGACCAGGGTGTGACCAGCCATCCTGAAATGTATCAAGTGTTTGATTTGTTAGTTCTATAAGCTGCTGCCTCACTGAATTTACTTCCTGATTCTGAAATAACTTTTATTCCCAATGGCTGCTTACATTCTGGTCTATTTTCCCAAATATAACTGTTAAAATATCCTGCTATGTGACCTTAAACTTGATCTTTCAACTTGTCTTGACTATCAAAAAAAGTGCTGGCTTAGAGTTCCATTAATTTGGAAAATGGAGTCATTTCAAAGAACTGTATTATGTGAGGAGATTTGTGGATTACCGAAGCATTATGGAAAGAAACTGAAGGAAGTGATTATGTATATTCAGTTTGCATTGTCTTGAAAGAAAAATCAAATATATCAAATGTAGCAAGTACTCGTTAATTTAATTTACCGCCCCCCCAAACTTTTCCTATTGATGAGCAGTTTTGATCATTGTAAAAGAAAGAAATATCCTCTACAGCAAAAGAACGTTGGTCTGGAATGGATGCAACTACATTTGTCCTAGAGTGACATTTCTGACATGGCTTCACTCAAAAGAGCACAATGATTACAAAAGAAAAAATAGATTTTGGTGTCAACACCCTCTCCTGTAATGGCCTGAGAGCCGTTCCAGCTCTACGTGCTCAGCATAGCCATGGTGCCCCCTGCCTGCCCACATGGTACAGATGGGCTACCTTCCCATTTACATACCAACGCTAAGCACCATGTTGTTCTTCCATTGCTCTCTCTCTGTCTCTCTGTCTCTGTGTGTGTGTGTGTGTGTGTGTGTGTGTGTGTGTGTGGTGTGTTTAATGCAGGTCATAGGTCTTCCGAAAGCTATTCTCTAATGTGAATTCTTCACATGTTTTGTATCAAGTATAAACAACTACATTCTGTATTTGTTGATCCTTTGTTTACAGGGTTTCAGAGTTTAAAGGAATACTGGTTAGAAGCAATGAAGTTAACTCCTGGAAGCTGTATCTATCTATCTATCTATCTATCAATTGATCAATTGATCAATCTATATATTTGACAAACTAGTGCAGATGTATGAAATTTTAGTTTGGCAAAATTCACTTCTTCTAGTGTTTTCATTTTAAAGATAAGAGGAGATAAGGGCCAAAAGGTAAACTAATGACAGGTTTAGGTTAAAAACACAGATCTAATTTTGTCTTTTATGTATCTTTCCCTATTTATTTAGGAAAGATTTGCTGTGGTACATTATGGTAGTCTAAAGGATTTTCATGCTAAACAAATCATCATTTCTAAACTCTTTTTTACATATCAAAACCAAGCATTTTCATCTTCTTCATTTTCTCCCTATAAAATGATTCTTTCTCTCCATCTTTGGCATGAATTTTATACTGCAATTGAGAAACTAATAACTCCAGGAGAGAAATTACTATTTCATTTTGCAATTTCCTGTCTCCTCTGAAAGGCTCAATACCGGCTTCAGAATGTGATATCAATACCATGCATTTTTAATTGATCTCCTAATTCTACTGATGAAATATCATAAAGGATTTTCTAGAAAAGGTAGTTTCATTTAAAGTGAGATCCATAATATTCTGAAATATATTTGAACAGCACGTGACTTTTGAATTATTGAAAGATGTAGGATATAATCTTCATTACTGTGAAAGTAAAAGCTATATTGATGTTTTAACTTAATCTCTAATAAACATTTAGATTCACAATACTGTTAATATTATTTTTCATCATATTAGACCAGAATTATTTAAACCTTGCTTTATTACTCCCACATTTGCTTCCTGTGATCCTCACTAGGATATTTGATTTAGGTATTTTTACTTTCTCAAAACAATGGAACTTAGAAGAAACAGTCTCTATCCCTGCTGTCATTTAGAGTGGTTGCCATATATTTTTTGACTCTCAAGAATTTCATTCTTTATGGATGGTTGACTTAGGTTATTCATATTTTAATAACTCTTCTTTCCTCAGCCCACACTTGCTCAAGTGATGTTGACTTCAGATAGCATAGTGTAGAGAAGACTCATAAGTGGGTGATCTGGGGAGGAGCTACGGCCATCCTGAACTGGGTAATATTCTTCCACTGTGATACTTTCCTATTTAAAGGCAAAAGCTTTCAATCTGCAACCAGTCAAAGTAGTGATACAATCTCATTAATTCATTCCAGTGCATAAACAATAGACTACCAGGGTTTCTGAGGGTCAATCACCCTCAATAGCACTCGAGGACTGGGGGAAGGCTGGGGCATGAAAACACAGGAAGTTAGGGCTCATCACATACGTGGCAAAAGTGAGGACACATTGTATATGTTCTTCCCAGCTTTGCTTGGAGTTGGTGATGCCTGGGAGTGGTGCATAAATTTATAGGACTCATTTTTGAGAATGTTCATGCTGCTGCTCTAAATGCACAGGAAATAGAGATATAGGACCACATAGGCTGCTTCCCCACCCCATCCCATCCTCTCCGTGATTGCATTAGAGCACAGAGATAGCAAAGGAATAGAAAAATGGCATAACATTAGGGAAGAAAGCATAGAGATTAAACACTGAGTGAGGAAAACAATAAGCAAACAAAAGTGAATTTGGAGCATAAAGGTGAAAGATTTTCAGAGATTTCTTCTTCTAGGTCTAGAGCAGCTGCATTTTTTTTTTTTTTTCAAACTGTGTCAGTGCATTCACAGTTCATCTGACTTCTTTTAATCTTCATTGGACCAGATCTTAACTCAAAAAGTCTCTAATTCATGATTCTGACCGTCTTCATGAATTTTTTATTCCGCCACCAATTTTGTTTTAAATGTTGACATGTGAGCGAACCTGAGATAGAAAACAGTGGCTGCTCTGAAGACTGTATGCCAGCTACAGAACTTGAAAAGGGTCTGTCCTCAGTCACTGCTCTCCCTCGCATAGGCTCCTGCTTTGTTCCACACCTGGGACCAGTCCTCCCCACCGGGTGTGTGGGGGCATTCTTCTGGGTAGCTAGGGATTGCCTGGCAGCCTTTCCCACTGGGGTTTTCTTCTAACATTCCCAGCTACTTCAGACTTTTAGGAGTAAAGCTTTTTTTCCCCTTTCACTATTACCCCGTTGTTCACTGTTCTTGTTAAAAGTGTCAACTCGTGTCTCACAAATGGCAGCTTGTTCTGTACTTTGTTCAATATCCTCATGACAGATCTGACCGTCCTCAAAATGAGACCTCTTGTCTCCAAGAATTTCAAAGCCATTGGCTTCTATAAAAACCAGGATCAATTGTACTTTAAATGTTGAAATCTGTTTTAGCATTGCTATTCATCTATGCTTTTACAATGTGGCTCTGTTTGGAAATTTTGTTCTAAATTACATGAGAGTTGAGAAGAAGGGTAGGAACTTCTAGGATAATGGCGAAAAGCCACAAAGCCCAACAACCTCTGAAATATAATTGCCCATAGGATAAACTAGTGTAATAGAAACTCTTATGTTTGAAGGTTTAAATGATCCCATTGACATGTCATACATATTTATTAGCAATCTTAATTTTCTTTCCCTTTAAAATGATGAGCTCAAAGGCAGAGTATTACAGACAACAGAATTTGTTGTTTAGAGTCTGTTACATAGTAAGTGATCAATAAATGTATGTTAAATTGGATTGTAATTGCATTGAATGCAAAATCTGAATTCAGTGATCCCTAATATCTCATTCCACTTTGACCTATGACTTTAAGATTCGTTCCATGAAGAACCAAGTTAATAGGTGGTAACAAGCTTCCAGATATGTGGATTGTCCAGTTCTCCAACTCAGATGATAGATATCTGGCCACACACCTCATGGACTATTGAGAAAATAGGCTAGTCTTCACTGAAGAACAGTTTCCATATTGTATGGTTTATATTAATATCAGATGCCCAAAACAAAGAGCATGGATTTTCATCCATCAGGATTATCCTCAATTTACTTAAAGTATAATTCCACTTCCTTTATAATCTTTCATGCATTTTTTTGCAACACTTATAGAAATCCACAGTGTTCTGCATCTGTAATAATGAGTATCTGAATGTTGATTAGGAGTTAGGAAAAGCTCATCTCTCTTGCTTTCCTTTCTAATCCTACTTGTTTACAGATGTGGACTCAAATAAAAATAACAATAGCTCATTTTTATGTAGCATTTTAAGATATATTATGAACTTTCTGATAAATGTGGATAGATAATGTATTATTATCTTGTTTAAAAATGAAGAAACTAGGGTTGCATCAGTAGCTCTGTTGGTTAGGCATCCAACTTCGGCTCAGGTGATGATCTCACAGTTCATGAGTTTGAGCCCCACAGTGCAGAGCCTGCCTGGAATTGTCTCTCCCACTGTCTCTGCCTTTCCCCTGCTCATGCACACTCTCTTATTTATTTATTTAAAAATAAATAAATAAAGTTAAAAAATTATGAAGAAACTAAACCTCAGAGAGATTGATATTTGACCAGCCTTACTCTAGAGAAAGTAGGGACCAGGATTTGGGCTCACTTAATTGATTGTTAAAATAGGCCATTTTTGTTTGTTTGTTTGTTTGCTTGTTTGCTTGCTTTACCATGCCACTGCTCATCACAATTCTTTACAGGCTCTGTGACCATGTGTCAAGAGCTTTAATATCTTTCCTGACCTCTTTTGTGTTCACTACGTTGATCTTCAGGGAATGTGAACTCTACAGATATTACTTGTTTTAGACTAAGAGTCTTTGGACTAAGCATGTCGTGTGTAGAAAAAAGGTAATGAAAGTTAAGTGTGGGTGCCTCCACAAGTTAAGACTGGTTTCAAAAGCAAATTGTTTTCAATTTCCTGTGGTTCTCCTCCACATGAATTAATTACCAAATCCGTCAAATACTCCATTTAGGCCCCAGCAGACCAATGCAGACTCATGTACCTGGATTTTGATGGATTCAAGTTTATAGCCCTACAAATCCATTTATCTTTTTGGGAGTTATTGCTTTTCTTTACCCCTCATGATCAATCAATGTAAATCAGGTATTTAAGAACTTGAGAAAAATGTGCCTTTGCTTTAATGTTTAATATGGTGTTAATGAAGATCCTGGCTCATTTGTGATATTCTCTGTTGAAAAGAAAACATTCATTTCTGACTTCTGACTTCATTGTCTATTTTTTCATATTTTCTATACCTTCATTGTGAAGGTCATGGACAGTGTAATTGTGGAAGATGTGACTGCAAAGTAGGTTGGTATGGGAAGAAGTGTGAACACCCACGTTCCTGCCCACTGTCGGCAGAGGAGAGCATCAGAAAGTGCCAAGGAAGCTCGGATCTACCTTGCTCTGGAAGGGGTAAGTGAGGGCTCTCAGCCCTGTTACCACTTCCTATGAGTTAAATGCATTCAAATCACATACATTTTATTTAATAGATAGCTGAGATCCCTGAATAGGGATAGGTTAGTCTTTTCAGAACTCATAGTTCATCCAGTTTCCATGACTGAAAGTACATGGAGAAATATATTCTCTCTCTTTTTCTCTCCTATTGTATGTGTGCAGGTGCACACGCATGCCCACACCCACTTGCTCATACACAGTCAGTTTAGCTTAGGTCTGTTCAATTTCAGTTCAGTTTAGTTCATTGATACATTAAAAAAGAAAAGTTTTGCCAAGCAAACAAAACAAGCAGAACAGAAAAGTAACTGAATGGGAGAGGGAGAAGATATTTGCAAATGATATATCCATGAGGGATTAGTATCCAAAGTATATAAAGAACTTGCACTCTCAACACCAAAAAAAAAAAAAAACAAACAAAAAAACAAAAAACAAAAAAAAAAAACCAAAAAAACCCAAACAAAAAACCTCAAGCAAATTTAAATTTTTATTTAAAAATTGGCAAAGTATCTGAATAGACATTTTTCCAAAATGACATACAGATGGCCAACAGACACATGAAAAGATGTTCAACATCACTCGTCAACAGGGGAATGCAAATCAAAGCCACAATGAGATATCACCTCACACCTAGCTGAATGGCTATAATAAGAAAGACAAGAAATAAGAAGTGTAGATGAGGATGTAGAAAAAAGGAACTTTTGTGCACTGTTGATGGGAATGCAGATTGGTACAGCCACTGTGGAAAACAGAAATTTAGTTAAAAATGTAAAAAATTCAAAATAGCATTATCATATGATCCAGTATTTCCACTACTGCATATTTACCCAAAGGAAATGAAAACACTAATTTGGAAAGATATATGCACAGCTGTGTTTACTGTAGCATTATTTACAATAGCCAAGATATGGAAGCAACCAATCCATGGATGAATGATAAAGAAGAAGTGGTATGGATGTATGTATATTGGTATATTACTTAGCCATAAAAAAAGAATGAGATCTTGCCATATGCAACAACATGGATGGATCTATAGGGTATAATACTAAGTGAAATAGGCAGACAGAGAAAGACAAATTCCATATGATTTCACTCATGTGGAATTTAAGAAACAAATTAGCAAATTAAAAAAGAGACAGAAACAAAATACTGACTCTTACAGAGAATAAACTGATGGTTGCTAGAGGGATGGGATCGGGGATGAGCGAAATAGATAAATGAGATTAAGAGTACACTTCCTAAAAAAAAAAAGTTTGGATATTTGGTCAAAACTTTCTGAATGAGACATTTAATTGTCCACTGACATTTCTGAGACTCATGACCATTGCATGGAGGAGGTTGTTGGCTTTTGAGAGAGCATTGTGTAAACAGATGGCTCTGGATAAGCTGATGCTGTTTTCAAAGGTACGTGGCCTCGGGTGTGGTCTTGGTTCCGGATCAGTACACACGGGAGAAGAAAAAGTGCATCTAGAGGAAAGCGGGTTCCATATTTTTCACGTATCAAAATAAGAAATAACAATTTCACCTCTCACATGAACACAGCCAAGTTAATATGAAATATGCCTTTGGAGGAACTGGTCACTGAAATCATTACAAATTTTGTTCATGAAAGAGGAAAATGAGAAAGACGTTCTTTTCCGAAATTTCATTTCATTATGCAGTTTTGTTTTTGGAAAAGTGAATTTTTTATTGAGAGACAATTCAAATACCATAAAATCCACTCTTTTAAATTATGCAACTTAGTGGATTTTCGTGTATTTATTTATTTATTTTAAGTTTGTTTTGAGAGAGAGACAGTGTATGAGTGGGAGAGGGGCAGAGAGATGAAGGAGGCTTCATGCTGTCAGCACAGAGTACTCTAACTCACTGAACCTTGAGATGACCTGAGCAGAAACCAAGAGTTGATCACTTAACCAACTGAGTCCCCCAGGTGCCCCCGTTTTTAGTATATTTATGCAATTATACAACCATCACCACTACCTCATTCCAGAGCATTTTCATCACCTCTAAAAGAAATCCTGTGTCCCTCACCAATCACTCCCCATTCTCCTCTGCTCAATCCCTAGAAACCACGAATCTACTTCCTGTCCTGAGGGAGTTGCCTAATCTAGATATTTTGTATAAGTAGAATCACAAAATATGTGATCTGTTTGTCTCTGGCTTTCTTTCACTTAACATAATGTTGTCAGGGTTTATCTATGTACTTCATTCCTTTTGCTGGCTGGATAATATTCATTTGTGTAGATTTCCACATTTCTTTTTTTTTCTTTTATAGTTTATTGTCAAGTTGGTTTTCATAGAACACCCAGTGCTCATCCCAAGAAGTGCCTTCCTCCATGCCCTTCACCCCACATTTATTTATCCATCCATCTCTTAGGGGACATTTGGGTCATTTCTACTTTTTGACCATCATGAATATTGTTGTATGAAAATTCATGAATAAATCTTTGTGTAGGTATGTGTTTAAATTTCTCTTGGACATACACATCAAAGTGGAATTGCTGGGTCATACAGTAGCTCTGTTTAACTTTTTGAGGTACAGCTAAACTGTCTTTCAAGTGGTGACACCATTTTACCTTCCCACTAGCAGTATATTCCCATTCTTTGTGATCATTTATCTTTTTGGCTACTTAGAATTTTCTTTATGTAGAAGACAAAGTCCTCAAGATTATTTGTTCCCATACTCAGGTATTTTCCCGTACTCTGATATGTATCCCTAACAGTTATAAGTAGAAAGTTAGGGTATGGGTAGAAGGAAATTTTCATTTCAGAAATTTTATTTCTGACTTGCCCCATTTCACCAGTAACCCCAGAAGGTAACTACTGTTCTGTCTGCATTAATAAAATATTATCGGGGTGCCTGAGTGACTCAATTGGTCGAACATCCAGACTCTGATGTCGGCTTAGGTCATGATCTAATGGTTTATAGGTTTGAGCCCCACTTTGGGCTCTGTGTTGGCAGTGCGGAGCCTGCTTGGGATTCTCTCTCTTCCCCTCCCTGTCTATACTTCCTCCACACATACTCTCTCTCTCTCACACACACACAAAGCCAAAAACAAAAAAAAACACTTTAAAATGTCATCATTAGAGAGCTTGAGTAGGCCTATTATGCTTTTTTTTTCTTTTTTTTTTTTTTTAAAGTTTTATTTATTTCTAGGAGAGAGAGAGAGACAGCGTGAGCAGGGGAGGGTCAGAGAGAGGGGGAAACAGGCTCCAGGGGGAAACAGAGAGACTGAAACAGGCTCCAGGCTCTGCGCTGGCAGTCAGCACAGAGCCGGACGCGGGGCTCGAACCCACGAACTGCGAGATCATGACCTAAGCGAAAGTCGGAGGCTTAACCGACTAAGCCACCCAGGCGCCCCAGGCCTATTATGCTTTTAAAGGAACAAAGATTAAAACTTAACGTCCCTCACACTACTGTTATTCATTCATTGTTAAAAATAATAAATTCTATGATAGAAAAATAAGAAAAGCATATAAGGTATCTCTTCCACAGAGAGCATCACTCTCTACATATTTCCAGTTGTTTTTCATTCGACTCTAAATTTTTTAATGTTCTGTTAGTGCAAGAAAATTCTTGTGGATTTTAATTATTGTGGATATCAGTCTTTGACAACTCTGACAAACACATATTTGTCTCTTACCTTCCTAGACAGTCACTAATGTATCAGTTATGGATTTATATATATGTTTATTTTATGAAAACTGCTACTAACGTATGTTATGTATTTACATATATATGTTTATTTTATGACAAAGAGGTTGAATAAATGTATAGAATTATGATACTTTTTATTTCATTTAAGCTTTTTAAAATACTTTAGGGATCAATAACAAGCTTCTCCCAGGGAGCTGGAGGTATTGGTGAATGGAGTGATTTCCCAGGGAACCATAACAAAATATGGACTCTGAGGATGAAGACCAAGGATTTGGGAGAGCTAGTCCGATGCTCGGACCAGTGATCAGGGACCCTTTTCTCTGAAAACTCATTGGCATTGCATCTTTTAAAGCAAATGGCCAATATGAAAACTTTTAAAGGATTAGTTTTGCCATTTGTGAATGACAGCTGCAGCTGTGCTTACATGAGTGAGGAAAGCAATTACAAGGCCCGTCGGTTCTCAAGACCGAGAGCCTCAGCAGCTCGCTTGCTAAGGGCCAAGAAAAAAAAAATTCTCCCTGCAAAATGTACTGATGCTCCTTAGTGTAGTCCCCCTGAGGGGCTAGGTGAAGGCATTTGTGCACTGGAAATTAAATTAGATTACTTGCGTCTGCTGGTGGTGACTAAGTGTGATCATTATGTCTTAAAAGTAGGGGAATAATTTAGATAATCTCTTAAATTCTTTATTAATCCTGTTGATCCTTGATTTCTTCTCTTGTTTAAGTTTACTTATTTTTGAGAGAGACAGAATACAAGTAGGGGAAGGGCAGAGAGAGAGAGAGAGAGAGAGAAATAGATAATCCCAAGCAGTCTCCACAGAGCCAGATGTAAGATCATGGCCTGAGCTGAAATCGACAATCAGACACTCAACTGACTGAGCCACTCAGGAGTCCCTGTTGCTCCTTGATTTCTATTCCTTATTGCCTATATAGATCTTTCTTTTTTTTAGGTAGAGGACCCCCATCTAGTCTATTTGGATACACAGTTATTCATCCTAATTTCTGCTCCCTGGGATTGGAGCTAGGGGATAACTTTCTCTAGTCGCATACCAGCGTGCTGCTCAAAAACTTGAAATGGCTTATGATAGGCTACACATTATTTTAAATTCATCTTGACTTAAGTATACATTTTTATTTTTATTGAGGTTCTCCTTCTGAGTAGGTGTCTGGCTTTGGCCAAAAATGTGACCAAAATTGATGTGTGCCACTTTGGAGCAGAGGTTTAAGAGGCAGTGAGAGATTTGCCATCTCTCCTGTCCACGGCGTGGGGACTTGCAGTGTTTGAGACGGTGGCTGATCTGTGA